AACCCTTGGCTTGGTGTCGCCCGCACCGCGCTCAGCCAGTGAGCGCACCGGCCATCCTTATGTAGGATCCGAACCCGTGGTGGGAGCGCCACTGCGCTCCCAAGCGCTGCACTCTCCCAAGTGCGCCACGGGGCCAGCCCCTATTTGCTTTAAGCCCCAAGGTCTGGAGTAGATCTGGCCATGAGTTGGGGAAGGATGGGGAGAAGGGGTGACAAGTGCAGGCTACACTGCCTGGACATGCCCAGCATCTGCTATCTGGGCCTGTTCTTCTTCACACTGGGCAGTCATTTATCCTTGACCTTTCCTACTAACTATGTTGCTTTCTCTTTCCACAGGTCAAATGGATGATGTACTGGATTATATTTGCACTTTTCACCACAGCAGAAACATTCACAGACATCTTCCTTTGTTGGTAAGTACTCCAGGAGTCAGGGCATTTCAAAGGATGATTTGCCTAGTGTCAGGGGGGAGGCAGGAAAGGGCTGAGACCTCAAATCTTACCTCAGGCCAGAGTTGCAGGGGCAGGGATGTTAATGGGAGTGTTTTTAGCCCATAAAACTTGTTCTTCAAGTAAATATTCATTGAGTGATGATATAAGAGCTGGTATTTTTCTAGGCACTGTAGGCAAGGTAATAGGAATAGACAAAATGGACACAGTTCCTCAATTAGTGGAATTGGTAAAGAAGTATTCATAGGTTTAAAAAAAAGGAATGAAAGAAATGGTACACAAATGTGTACAGTGAAAAGTAAGTTTCCTTCCCACACCAGTCAGTCCCACCGTAACCACTACTTACAATTGTGTATCCTCTTAAAAAATTTATGAGAGCTGGCCTCTGGCTCACTTGGGAGAGCATGGTGCTGATAACACCAAGGCCACAGGTTTGGATCCCATCTAGGGATGGCTGGTTTGCTCACTGGGTGAGCGTGGTGCTGGCAACACCAAGTCAAGGGTTAAGATCCCCTTACCTGTCATCTTTTAAAAAAATTTAAAAAATAAAAAATAATTTATGAGGGCCGGCCCGTGGCTCACTCGGGAGAGTGTGGTGCTGATAACACCAAGGCCACAGGTTTGGATCCCATCTAGGGATGGCTGGTTTGCTCACTGGGTGAGCGTGGTGCTGGCAACACCAAGTCAAGGGTTAAGATCCCCTTACTGGTCATCTTAAAAAAAAAAAAAAAAAAAAAATTTATGTACATATGTGTATGCACACACATACACACACATGCACCACTCTTTCTGTTTTTAACAATAGTATTATACATAACAGTTCTTATTAAATTTATTTTGGAAATACTTTCATATGAGCATAAGTATCTCTACCTATTTTTTAGTGGCCACAGAGTATTTCATGGTATAGATGGAACATAGTGCATTTAACTGATCCCCTTCTGGTGGACATTTAAGTTGGTTCCCATTTTTTTTCTTATAAACAATGTAGCTATTTCCAGCAATGGAGCAATTTAAAAACATAAGGTAGGTCTTTGTATTGAGATATATCTTATCTTTTTTAGTGAAAGAGGCTGTGAATAATATAGGTATCCTGTTTATATCTAAAAAGCATGAGTTTGTGCACATGTGAATGTGTATTAAAAGTAGTGTGAAAGGCATAATTAGTCAGGGTTATTTCTACAACTTGGGACCAAGGGTTTGGTTTTGCATTTGCTCTGTTGTATGAATGTTTTGCCATGACCAACTGTCATCAGAGAAAGATATTTCCATTTTGGAAAAAAAAATTCTTACCCAGAAAGAACAGTATGAACTTACTGTCTGGGATGTCCCAGGCCAAAGAACAGACCTGAATATTACTTCTCTGAATGGGTTTTGGATCAATGGCCTTAGTTATCTTAGTATGTAGATTTTCCCCCTGAAGGAGTCTGGCTCTCATCTCCACTGGGAGAAATAGATGTCTCAGCCATTGTGGCCTCAGGCTGTAGGGAAGGAATCCGGATTTCCTAATTTAACGTGTTTGCGCCATCCTGCTCTGCACTGTGCCCAGATACCACAGCAGACAGTGGATGGGGCTGAGTCTCCTTGAGTGGAGAGGGAACTCTGCTGAGCCATCCCTGTCTCCCCAGGCCCCATGAGGCTGACACCAGGAGCCAGGCCATTTTGTGCAGAGCTACAACAGGTAGGCTCCTGTCTGATTTATGAAGATGAGGATGACGGGCCCGGCCCAGTCAAGACTGTGTCGTTGATTAAATAGATTAAATCTGTCTGCTGCTGGGTGATCTCCTGCCTGCTGCCTTCCTATCCTTCTCTGGAACACCAGTGGGAATAGTGTTATTCTCATGAGCTCTTTCCTGAGAGTACTGGCATTTCAGCCTCTCTGCTTTTTGCTGGGTGGAAATCCTGTCTAGTCATGGCTATGTTCCTCCCTAGTATCTGGAATAAGCCCTTATCCATAGCCCGGGAATTTTAGCATTTCAAACCCAGTAAGCACTCAACAACTATTTCTGGAGTTGATTTGATTTGGGGAGGCATATTCATTTTTTAATGGTACCATAACAAATTACCACAGATTTAGCAGTATAAAACAACACAAATGTATTATTCTATAGATTTTGTAAGTCAGAAGTCCAGGTGGCATCAACTGAGTTCTCTGCTCAGAACGTCACATGGCCAAAGTCAAGGTGTGGGCCAGCCTGGGCTCTGATCCAGAGGCTCTGGGGGAGATTCCTCTTCCAGGCTTATCCAAATTGTTGGCAGAATTCAGTTCCTTATAGTCGTAGGACTGAGGTCCCCGTTTTCTTGACATGTGCCGTCCCCTCCATCTTTAAGCCAACAACAGTGTGTCAAATCTTCTCATGCTTCGAATCTTTGTTGTCTTCCGCTACCAGCCAGAGAAAGGTTTCTGCTTTTGCTTTAAGGGCTTCTGTGATTAGGTTAGGCCCACCCCAGTAATCCAGTATAATCTCCCTATCTTAAAGTCAGCTGAGCAGTGTGTCAAATCTTCTCATGCTTCGAATCTTTGTTGTCTTCCGCTACCAGCCAGAGAAAGGTTTCTGCTTTTGCTTTAAAGGCTTGTGTGATTAGGTTAGGCCCACCCCAGTAATCCAGTATAATCTCCCTATCTTAAAGTCAGCTGATTAGTGACTTTCATGACATTTGCAAAGTCCCTTTTGCCATGTGAGGTAACATTTTCATGGGAGTAACACCCAGGGGAGAAGGTCATGGACCAAAATGCTGCCTACCACGGCAGGACGTTTGCTACCTGGTGTATTTGGAGAAGGTACGTGGGGGTGGGTAGGATCCGCCTCTCTTCCTGACACACGTGGAGGCCTCACTTGCTCCCTCATTTGACCCTCTTGGCTGGAGGTGTCAGGCAGCTTATGGGTGGGAAGTGAGTGTCCCTCGTCCTTCTGGTGGCCTGAGCTCTGCTTCTGCAGAAAAGGGGCTCCTTGGGAACCTTCCCTGCCTGCTTTCGCGCACAGCCTGCTCCTACCCTCACCTGCTTTCTCTTTTTCTCCCCACCTCCAGGTGTTATAGATCATGATCTTCCTCTGGGAGGGTGCTCCCTCTCTCTCCTCCCTCTCGCCCTAAGAACAGGCACAGGACAGGCCCATAAGGGAATGTAAGAGCCCTGCTTCCCTCCCAGGGACATGGGACATGGACACCCGATCAGCAGCTCTGAGCTGTCTTTACAATCCAAAAAAATAAAAATAAAAGGAAGTTTACGTCCTAAAGTGCACCTCTTTGCCTCCCTCTTCACTCATTCCCCTCTTTCCACCCTCCCATAGGGCAGTTTTCTGTTCATTGTTAACTTTTTAAACATCCTATCTTGATGAGAACAGCAATTACAGATTATCACAGGATAGGATGGTGGCTTGTTTCACAAGTTTAGATTTTAAAAGATGATAAAATAATACATGCACGTGGCAAAATTAAATTGAAAAAAATACACTGACAAGTAAGTATCTCTCTTCCCCCAGCCCACAATTGCCCTCCCCAGAGGTGCTACTGTTAAAAGTTACTTGTATTTTATTCCAGAAATGTTCCATACACATTAATTATGTGTATTTGGGACAATTTCATCACACATCCAACCCTCTTAGAATACATCCACCCCTCCAGACTGTCAAGGTGTTGTATGGGGAGGGTGAGGAGATTACAACTGTCCTGCACTCCCAGTGCTGGGCATATGTCTTGGAAGCTGTGGAGGAAATGTGGGGGAGCCCCTTGCCTTTTCTCCTTCAGTACGTGCTAGAGGTCAGTGTTCTTCAAGGGCTTCTCATGACGGAATGAATAGGGTCCTTCTCTACCTCTTGGGTGAAGGCTGGGATGGTGATAGGTGGGCTGGAAGCAGAGTTGGTTGGTGGTGATTGTGTTGGTAGAGCCAAGGGACCCCAATGCCTCAAGGAAACACAGGATCTGAGTGGCTCAACTTGGAGAATCTTGTGACACTTAGCAAAAGCCTGGTTCTGTGTGTAATGATTTCAGAGGCAGCCGACTCCCCCCACCAACACACACAAACTTCAGGGATGGAGATTTGGGGCCTGTAAGTGAGGATCCAGCTTTAAACTGGGGTTAGCACACTTTTTCTGTGAAGGGCAAGATAGAAATATTTTGAGCTTTCAGAGTCATACAATCTTTATTGCAAATACTCAACTTTGCCGTTGTAGCATGAAAGCAACCATAGGCAATACATAAATGAGCGGGCATGAAATGTTTTAATAAAACTTTATTTGTAAGAATAGATGACAGGCTGGATTTGAGCCATGACCCATGGGCTTAAGACCCCTAGATCCATTCTAGCAAGCAGTAGAGACCAGCTCTGACTAACGTAAGGAAAAGAGAAGAAAACAATGAGACTTTGTTGGGAGATGCTGGAATAATTCACAGAACGGAAAGAAAAGCTGAAAAACTGAGACTGAGGGGTGGGCAGGGTCCCTCAGAGACCCTAGCACTGAATCTCAAGGACTTGCTTGTATCTGCTGCCACTTACTCCCCTCAGCACTGTTTCTCCCAGTTGCGAATTTTACTCTCCTATGATCTAGAGATCACTAAGTACTTAGTACTTAGCTGTGATGTAGCGATCATGTTGTACTTACTACTCACTACTAAGTACTTAGTACTTACTGTGATCTGGAGATCACTTGGTATAAACAGAGGCTACCAGGGGCCTGACCATATGTATGTAGGATAGAGGGAAGGGATATAGTCCCAGGGAAGGTGGTCCAAGAGGTATCTCCTACCATGAATATTTGTAGGACCTACTGTGTGCGAGTTCTGTGCAGTCGTTGGGCAACTCATGCAGAGTCAGCACCTCTGGGCAGCCTTTGGGAGAGAAAATCACCTGGGGCACTTCCAACCCCAGTGAGCTACGGGTGCTGGAGTACATCTGTCTCTTTCCCTCTGTCTCATGCTCTTCTTCTGTCCTGAAGTGGTTGGTCCTGGCTGCTTCTTGTCCTCTCTTCTTCCAGGTTGGTGGTTTAGGGGGAGCATTATTTTTTCTCATGCGGTGTATGTGTATGTCCTTCCTCTCTCTTTTCCTCCCTCCCCCCTTCATTTCTTCCTTTCTTTTCTGGCTAAGATGGACAGCCTTTACTCCTACCCAAGAGGTCTCTTGCGACAATAGACAGGTAAGGAGGTTTCCCATTTATGCTCTCTGGAGAGAGGCCTTAGAGTTCAACAGCAGCTCCCAGCTCCTTTGGATACCATGCCCCAAGGGTCAGCTGGCGTCCCAGGGAAGCTTCGCTGGTGGCCAACATACTCCATCTCTAAAGTCATCAGACACATAGATGTCCTCCACTCTCTAAAACTCGAGGCCCACTCAGTCTGAAGGCCATTTCCTCATTTGACTCTGCAAAGGGCAGAGGCCCTCACCCGCCAGAGGATAACCTATAGAGACCTCCGAGAGGTTTGTTTTGGGCCTGTTAAGGTTGAAGTGATGCCAGGTAAATAGTAAAAAGAATTATGAGGTGGACGTTGGTGAGTGACAGAAGATGAAGAGAAATTTGGAGAGAGCCAGAGCCCTTGCCCCCACTAAGACTTTTTTTCATGCTTCCATTGCAACATTGCAGCATTGTTGGGGCTGGGGGGAGGGGGCGTCACCTGGTCCTCTTTGTTCTCCTACTGGATGATAAACCCCTAAGGGTGAGGATATGTCTAACCTAGCTTTGGTTTCCCCATATTGTGCTTAGCACTTCCCTTTTACCTTGTAGCTTTTCAATAGAATTTTCCCAGCTGACCGAATGAATAAAACAACGAATCAATCAACAAGCCAGTGATTATTTTTGAATAGACAAGTGGGGCAGGAAAAAAAAGGAAAGAAATTGAAAAAAAATGTAGGAATTGCTAACAGTAGCACGCAGTCTTGACATTTTGGTTTTGCTACCAAGAAAAGACTCGAAAGGAGCCTACTTTTTTTTTTTTGTCACCGGTAAGGGAATCGCAACCCTCGGTGTGGTGTCGCCCGCACCGCGCCCAGCCAGTGAGCGCACCGGCCATTCCTATATAGGATCCGAACCCGCGGCGGGAGCGTCGCTGCGCTCCCAGCGCCGCACTCTCCCGAGTGCGCCACGGGGCCGGCCCTAAAGGAGCCTACTTTTAACCAGACCTGGAAAGGTCAGGAATTTCCAGGTCAGCTGTAACAGCTTCCCTTTTTTCTTCTCTGGATACTTACGCCACCTTCCTGCCTGAGGAACAACCTCAGGGCACTGCGATTCTTCCTTAACCAGTTAATTTCCCTTGCCCAAGATTCCTTCAGAGGAAGCTCCATCACCCAAGGTGAACAGGGAATACAGAGCAGCTCTCTCTCGTACCAGTCTGGAGCCACCTGGGAGGGCAGCACCCAAATGGGCAGGTCTGGATCCCACCCCTAAACGAAGTCTGCTACCCCAGTTTGTCACTGGAGATGCTCTGTCAGTCTAACAAGAGAAGCCCGGGAAGTGAAGCCAGAAGATTGGGAGGCAAGAAGGTTTTCAAAGGCTGCCAACAGTGTGGATGGGGTACACTAAATACAGAAAGGACCCAAAGGATGAGGAGAGTCTGTAGCAGGGGGCCAAAGAGGGCTCAGGCAGCCCAGAAGGACCATCAGGACTTCGTATGCAAACTCATCCCATAAGCTCTAATCTCATAGCCTGGGGCAGGCTCACAGGTGGCCGTACACAGGGAAGCTGCGGTTGTGGGGAATCGGGCTCTCTTACTCGTGTTTGCATGGAGGGGCAATCTCTATAAATAAGTTGCATAGAAATTCCACTTCTGGGTGTTTTTGCGAGATACATTTTCATGTTTATGTAAAGAAGTACATACAAGGAGGTTTACTCACAGCTCTGCCATGGCAGCCAAAGATTGTAACCATCGTAAATATTTATTCATGGGGCCTGAGTAGATGCTCGTGCACACATATGCAGCCGTTAAGAAGAGTGAGACAGCTCTGCATTGGTATGAGATGTCCCCAGGGTATACTGTTAATTGTGTGTGTACTAGAGGGAACCAGGTATAGGACGGGTGTGTGGAATGCCACTGTGTGTGTATGGGGGACAGATAAGAGTCATATGGTCCATACCTACATGATTGTATATCCTAGCCCTAGTCCACCTCTGGAAGGATGTGCAGGTAACTGATGTTTTTGCTTTTAGAAAGGGACCAGGGGTCAGGGGTGGAAAGGAGACTCTTTGTTGTATACTCCTTTGGACTTTTAGAATTTTTTAAACTATGTGTGTGCATGACCTATTTTTTTAAACTGTGTCTTTTACGTAATAAATAACAGGGCCGCAGTGCGACAGATGCCGTTGGGATGATCTGTGTCTTGTGTTGCCTGACTCATTTGCTTTCCCCTTGTGGCTGGCAATTACTTGTTTGCAAAACAAAAGTTCCTCCATTATTAATCACCAGAGGGCTCAGATGTGGGAGAATCTTGCCTCTGTTCTTTCAGCACCTCCCTCTCTTTTCTGGCTGCGGAACATGAAATAGTCTTGCCATGGAATTGCCCCCCAGTTGCTGAGCCTATCAGAGGCAGAAAGCAGGGGCCAGCGGACCCTGAGAAAGGAGGAGTAGGTGGGGCTGCTGATTTGAGGGGGTTCTGTGTGAGAGTTAAAGAGCCCCAAAATGACTTGCTAGAAATTGCTCTTTTCAATTTTTGGCTCCCTTATCTGGGGAGGATGCCTGGGAAGGAATTCCTTTTCTGGTCCCTCAGACTAGAGTAGGTGACCTTCTGCCTCATAGCATCAGGTTTTAAGGATACCTGGGATTTGTTTTAATTGGGCACGCACACACGGAGATGACTGTCATGGAGGAGGAAGTCTGTACTCACGGATCCCTGGAAACAGGAAGCATGGCACGCAGGGCTGCAAAGGAAAGCACCAGGGTCGGTCAGGAGACAGAGGGAGGAAACAGGGTGAGGGCCTTTATTGTAGCTTCCACAGGAAGGAACAGGCAAGACAGGGTACGCAGGCTTAGGGTTGGCTAGTTTGAATGATTTCTGTGGGCTCTGGGGTGTAGGGGTTGTCTCTGGTTGTTTAGTACCTGGTCCTGGGGTGATTGGGCAGGTGGCTAGAGGCCTGGAACACGAGAGCCCAGTAGAGGGGATGGCTGGAATATGGGCTCTGGATTGGTTAGTTTGCTTGCGAAAGGTGTGCTTGCAGGCCAAGGTGTAGGGGTTGTCTCTGGTTGTTTAGTACCTGGTCCTGGGGTGATTGGGCAGGTGGCTAGTGGCCTGGAACACGAGAGCCCAGTAGAGGGGATGGCTGGAATATGGGCTCTGGATTGGTTAGTTTGCTTGCGAAAGGTGTGCTTGCAGGCCAGTTCTTCACTATCTCTAGGAATTGGCTCACCCTGGGGAGGGCAGTTCCTCCAGGGTCAACAAGGTCCCAGATGTGAAAGTATCAGAATACAGAGAATAAAAAGATATGGTTAATAGGCCTCAGGACTGCCAAATATGGTTGCTCAGGTTGTTCACAGTATAAGGTATCTGGCTGAGGAGGTGAGGCGGGTTGAAATCCAGACCGAGCTCGACTTGCCACACCCACAGACTGCATCTAATATGTTCAAAGGCACCACATGAACTAGCAGAGGCCACCATGGCACTTGTCTCGGGTTGCTGTTCCATGCTATTTGTAGTTATTTCATCAATCTCTGTTTCCATGACTGGACTATCAGTTTCAAAAATGCCAGAATCTTTTCTATGTTTCCCATTGGACTGGAAGCTACAAGAGGGCAGAGATCAGATCTTTGCTCACCATTGTCTCCCCAAAGCTCGGCACAAGCTGGCACGTATAGGTGCTGGGTGAGTGTTTGTGGGACAAATAAATGAATGGGCTCAAATGTACTCAGGACATCAACTCCAGAATTGTATCTTAACTGCATTCCAGACTCTTCTTTCTCTTGGCACCAAAAAGATCAAGATCTGTTTACCTACCATTGACTTGAGTGGGGTGAGTTCCTGGCAAGAGTTGGGTTCCTGTCCCAGCCTCAATTTAGGCCAAGAAGACAGCCAAGAAGGAGAGGCTTTTATTCTCAGTCTGGAGGTTCTTTGGCAACTCCACCCTACTGTAATTCCTCCTGGTGTTTGTGCCTCCTTGGCCACGAGCAAAGAAGGAATGACTGGGTATGCGGTGGGGACATGGTCTTCAGAGCCTGTGGGCTGTGGCTGAAGCCCCAGCTCTAACCCAAATGGATGTAGCCTGGCAGGGCCTTACAGTGATTGCTGGAGAGAACCTGCATTCCTGGCTTGCTTTGGCAACAAAAGAAAATAGGAACCAACTTTCAAAGAGAGGCCTTGGAGTTGTGCTGTGTGTGTGCATAGGTGTGCATACGCCTTCACGGGTGGAGGAAGGAGGAATCTGTGGACATTGCAGCCATGTGTGGGCAGGAGAGGCATGAGGTGTTGTTGCTGAGAACCTACTGGAATGTGTTTTCTGCTCTCTCTCTCCAGGTTTCCATTCTATTATGAACTAAAAATAGCGTTTGTAGCCTGGCTGCTGTCTCCCTACACAAAAGGCTCCAGCCTCCTATACAGGAAGTTTGTCCATCCCACACTATCTTCAAAGGAAAAGGTATTTATTTATTTATGCTGCTCTGCCTTTCACTCCTTCCAACTAGTGAAAAATACATAAAGTGATAAATAAAAAAGGCAGATTATTTTATTGCAGGATTCCCCTTGATGGGCTCTTGTTTACCCCCAACAAGCTGTTCCTTCTAATCTTTTTTTTTTTTTTGGCACACCAGTCAGCTAACAATCTTTTTTTTTTAAGTGTATTTTTTGGACATGTTTAGAAATAGTGGGGGAATTCTCTAAAAGATGTTATTTCTCATTATTCATTGTAAAACATTTACATAAATTCTAACAAAGAAAAAAATTCATTCACAATTTAACCCCCCAAACTGAATTTCCTTCCTTTCATCATGCTTAGCCCCCGTCCTTTTGCAGATATTTTTACATAGACTATTTAAAATTTTACATGGAATATTTTAAAAAATACTTTTTAACTTAACACAGATAAAATATTTGTATTCTGAGATCTTAAACATGATTGTATGTAATTCATTTCTACTTGGTCTTTATAATTACCCGTGATGATAGAACTGTTTATTCCCTTACTGCTAGAAACTTAGATTATTTTTTTTCCTGATATAGATAATTCTGCAGTGAACACCACCATACATGGAATTTAGTTCCTGATTATCTTAGAATAAATTCTTAAGAGAGGAATTATTGGGTCAAAAGATTCAAAACATTGCATGAATTCATTAATTATATTACTTTCTAAACTGATTGGTAGGATTCCTTAACATAAAATAGCACTATAGGTGACTTGATACATTAGTTTCTATCGTTTCTGAAAGTTGAATGCTTTGGACGTCTAGGGGAATGCTTTCGGGAACGTATCAATTGGAAGAGCAGACTACTGTAGACATTTCTAGAAATCCCATTAGGAACTAGGGCCTCAGAAGTGTGGATTTTGAGGAATGGATCCCTTTTGTGACCTAGTTATCAAATCCCTACTCCTCCTATTTCCCTTTCCTCCAATCCTGGGCTCCCCTGAAGCCACCAGTGTGATTTCCCTTGAAGTGAAGGTGACTGACTCTTAAGAGCTGCCAAGAATCACTCCAGAGTCAGTCGGGGGTGACAGTGAGAGGGAAACCTTAAACAGGGACTCCAGCAGGTTGCTGACCCCACCTGCACACCTCAAAGCAAAGGAAATGCACTAATGTACTGAACTTCATGAGGCCCAATGTCATTGTCTTACTGAACTCTGAAATGAGCTACTGTCAATACAAAACAGCATTTTCTTAAACAATGACAACGACAAAACAACCCAAAAGAAAACAAACAAAAACCAAAACAAATACAAAGAATAAGCCAGAGCTGATCCGAATCTGAAATAAGCCAATAATGTACTTGGCTTTGGTCCCTGCAGGAGACCTTGATCCTGTTTCCACGTCACCTTTTCTATGTTGTGTGATGCTGGATGACTCCTAATTTCTGTGTTGATTTCCATATCTGTAAAATGATCTCCCTTATCAACAGAAATAACACCCATTTCTTTCTGCATCCTAATCCCTCCCACCAATATATTACATGGGGTGATATTTGAATATAGATTTAAGTAACTATAAACAGAATTTTAGAACCGTGAGGGCCAACCCCCTCAAGGTAAGGAAAATGACACTGGTTTTCACGTACTGAAACCAGCCCCTGTGTTAGATGCTCTGCAGGAATTACCTCCTTTAATCCTCACCACACTCTACGAGTTAGGTAGTATCATTACCCTCATTTTTCAGAAGACAAAACTGTGTGTAGAGAGGCTGAGTGCTTGCCAAGGCCTGATGGCCGGTGAGTGGCAGGCCTGAGGTTAGAAGCCCAGGATCTGTGTCCTGTAGAGCAGCTGTGTGTGGAATGCCACCTCCGGGGGCCCCTAGAGCCTCCCTAGAAGGTTAGCGGCCTTAGAAACCATGCCAAGGCATTGCTGGGTCAGTAAGTCGCTATTTCTTCAGAATTCCCTTTTCTGCTCCCCTGTACCTCTGTGGTCTCTCTCCTCCTGTCTCCACACACGTACTCAGAGTGGCTGTGGCTCTTCGGGCCCAGTGAGAGTCAGTGACCGGGCAAGCCACCAAGCCAGCACTCAGGAGAAGGGAAAGAGAGCAGAGACTTATCTGAACCTTCCAACTCAGTGTGTCTCTGTTTTTCCTTTCACAGGAAATTGATGATTGCCTGGTCCAAGCAAAAGACCGAAGTTACGACGCCCTTGTGCACTTTGGGAAGCGAGGCTTGAACGTGGCGGCCACGAGGGAAAGAGAGCAGAGACTTATCTGAACCTTCCAACTCAGTGTGTCTCTGTTTTTCCTTTCTCAGGAAATTGATGATTGCCTGGTCCAAGCAAAAGACCGAAGTTACGACGCCCTTGTGCACTTTGGGAAGCGAGGCTTGAACGTGGCGGCCACGGCGGCTGTGATGGCTGCTTCCAAGGTACCGTGCTGGGCCCTGACCCCTGGCTGCGTGAGCACCTCAGTCCCTCCAGTCTGCCCACTCAGCACCATGCAGCTTGCACAGGACAGGCTAAGGATGAGTCGGTGGTTTCTTGTCTTTTTTTGGTTCCTTTTGAAGCTCTGATGGAAAAAATGGTGAATCATGCCTGAGAAAAGTTTCACACACCACACACATGCACACACACACATGTATGAAGTGTCCAACACTAGGAGGCTCGCAGAGCCCCTGAAGCTCACCTGTGGGTCCCAGGTTAAGAATTTCTAAATTCCTTGGAGCTTAGGCCTGGGAGAAAGAGAAGAGGAGGGAGGGAGAGAGTGCTTTTTTGCAACTTCCCAGGGTGCAGTGAGAAAGTCACCTCAACTCCGAATGCACAGGTGGAGAGACTGTCTGAGTGAGTGGGTGGATTCCATGCTCACATGGCCCAGCAGATCCAGGTGAAGGAACTCAGGCTCCCAGAGAGAACTCATCCTTCCAACCTGGAGGATGTGCACAGCAGTGGTAATGGAGGTGGAGGAGCTTTGAAATAAACACTGGTCTTTGGGATATTGTGATGTAAGCATTACTTCTTTTTCTTTTCCATCCAGCCCTGTTCGTGAGTCCCCTGTGTTCCTTCCTAGCTTCTTCTCACATCATATTCTTTGTCATTGTGTCAGTTTCTCATTATATAGTTAGACATAAAAAATTAAATTGGTCAGACATTTCCTCTCAAAGTAAATTCAGCAGATTGTCTAGTGTTCCCCAGTGACAACCCCTGCGTGTGGACAAATCCATATATGGAGCAGGAATCTACCATCGGCCAGGGTGGAGGAAAGGCAGTTATGCTAATGTCTGGGAAGACACAGGAGTGGCTAGGTGAGTCGTATTAGCAAAGGGAACTTATAAGTCCTGGATGGTAATGCAAGGGTTTTGGAGAAGGAGGTGGTGGAACTGTGGAAGGGTTTGGAAGAGGAGGCTTAAAGCAGATCTTGGTGCTCCACAAGCACAGGTGGTTAAAGTTAAAATGGCTCACTTCCGTAATATTCCTGGAACACAGACTTAGCTCCTTAGAAGCATTAACCTTGGGATTGAAGAAAGCTGGGGAAGGGGGGACAATGTTTATTTCCTCAAAACTTTATGCAAGTTGAGAAATACCATATTTGGACTACAGGTGCTTCCACCTCTCGTGTAGTACTCCAGGGAGCCTGGCACAGTGCTCTGTACCCAGCAGAGCCCTGGACAACCTTGTTGATTGCCCCAGGGGATTAGTCAGAGAAATTACCTGAACAAGACACCATGCCAAGCCATCTGTGACTGGAATGACCTTATAATTTATTGTCCAAACCAGGACATGTCTGAGAATGAAAGGGGTGCTATGATAATTACTGTGGGACAACAGGTATAAACCAGGCCTGTCCCAAGCAAACTGGGATTTATGATCACCCTACTCATGTCTTCATTTTAAATCTCTTGGACCCTGCCTGTTTTCTCCCAGAAAATATCCTCAACTCACAAATCAGTTCTCACTCTAAATGTCTACCACATTTAGTCAAAGGGATGCCATGTGGGAAAGACTCTTAGCTTTAGCAGATGAAATGGAAGTCAGGGTATCAAGTGATGAGATGGCGTAATTTCTCCCTCTTTCTTCTGTGCTTTTTTCCACCTTTGATGGCTCCCTGTAAAGTATGGCAAATCAAAATTGACACCAGAATGTTTCATTATTTTAGTTATTATTCTAGTTATAGTAAGTTTCCATTCATATTGTCAGAGCTAGGGCTAAGACCCTTTAAACCCTTTGTGCAGACTGGGTCACCAGACCCCTCACACGCAGGTCCATGCTAAGTAAATGGGAAAGATTCCAGGAGCTGTTGGCAGATGACACGAGCTCAGTCCTCAGCAGCAGCTGCAGCTTACAGGTCCGGTAGCTTACAGGCCTGGCAGTGGCGATGGCCTTGTGGAGGGTCCCAGGGCCACTAGCAACAGCCTCCAGCAGCAGTAGTGGCATCCCCATGGCCCCCTGGGACATCCCAGGAGTGGGAGGTGCTATGGATCAGAGCCACTCGTCCTTTATACTTAAGTCCATAACCCAGGACACCTGGATGCACATGTGCAATTACACTAGATGATAACCAAGGAACATCTGAGCACAGGTGTCTAGTTACATCAAATGCTCAGCAAGATTCTGAACATCTGAGGGGCCCTGACCATTTTCCTATATTTTCCCAACACTCCCCAGGTGGAAGCTATGGAGCTTGAACAGAAGAATGAAAGATCTTTTGACTACACTTTTAGTTAATCCTGTTTGAAATAATATTGAGCCCTGAGCCCTTTCCCTAGTAAAAGTAATGTTTGCAGGTTTTGAGTTTTTTTAATCATCATGAAGTGTGAAAAAACTTTGTAAACCATATCTTATACAATATATGTTATACAAATATAAGTTATAAAAAAACTTACACAAATAAGTTCTTATTAATGTTCATATTAATATTTTATCTTATAACTGAAAAAGATAAAACAAAAAAATTAGACAAGAGAAATTTCTCCCAGGGCAATTAACCCCCTTCCATCTCTAATTTTCCCCAAGGTCGAACTCCTATCCCCAGGAAGTGCAGATGTATCTTTTCTTTCAGTGAAAACTGCTCCGTCTCCTTCCCAAAGACACAACTTCTCTAGCACCTTCTGTCTGAGCACCCCTAGTCTCTTGGCTGGTTCTGCTCCTATATTAGCTGTTTCCTACCTATAATTCCACCCACAGGGAAAATTGAGCCTCAGGCCTTTTTAAGACTAGAATTGGAAATCTCTCTCTCTCTTTTAAAAATACTGCTCTGGAAATTCATTTGTTAAGCAAAACACATTCTCACATGAAAGAGAAACCGTAGGGCCGGCCTGTGGCTCACTCGGGAGAGTGCGGTGCTGATAACAGCAAGGCCACGGGTTCAGATCCCATATAGGGATGG